AATTTTCATAGATTGAAATATTACCAATAATATTATGCTTAGAAATATGAAATGTGGCTTCTTTTACTTTTACATAGAGCTAATAAATAAATACACTTAAGTATTCAATTGATATTTKTCATACCAAGAAAAAGTTATATTATTATACAACATACTAGAATCTTGTAAAAAAAAAATAACGTTAATGATAATATGCTGTACCTACATAATATAGTAAACTATAAAAAATATAGCTGATATTAAGACTGGCTTAAAAATTATATATTTTATAGTATGAAGGTTATAAATTATATTTTATTTTAAGAAGACAMATTTTATAATATTAAAATACACAATTCATTAGTTGCYTAAAAATAAAACTATTTTAATTTTACTTTTTAGATCATTCGTGGCATACATTTTTTTTAACGGAGGAGAAATGAATGAATACTGCTTCTTCTTTTTTTGTGAGATACATAWACATAGGTACTATACTAATTCATTTTTTCAGGGTGGGGATATGAAGATGTTCTACACTATTTTAAGAAATCCGAGGATAATGAAGATCCAGAGGTTTATAAAAAAAACCCAAAGTTTCATGGTAAAGGTGGATATCTGACGGTGGAGTGGTTTCCATACGTAGACCCTACAGCAGTAGCTTTAATAAAGGTATAAAATATATAACGTGATGCACTATAAGTATTAAGGAGGTATTATTATTTTAAATTTGCCAAAATTATATAACATAGTCGTACACGTAGTTTCAAGTCCCTATGAATAATATTTTTAAATTAGAAAAAAATAACCAAAATCATTAGCCTTCGTTTAAATATATAATTTCGTCCATATGTAAATTGCAAATGGGTGTATAATAATTGTGTTTAAATATTTTAAGATTAATTATTTTAGTATGAAATGYTTATGAGGCACCACGTATCGAATTTTTAAGCTTTTTGACTAAGCGAAAATTGTTTTCTCAATATTTTTAGAAGTAGGTACATGCTACTAAATATTTTTCATCTGAAATAAATATGTTTAAGGGTAGAGGTAGAAAAATATTTGTAAGTGTGCTATATTTAGTTATGAATTTAATAAATAAAGAATTAAAGATTGATTTTTAATAAATATTTTTTTTTTATTGATTTAAGTTTCTATGCCGAAGGCAAAGCAAAATCGTCAACAAAAGTTATTAGAAAAAAAATCTATAACTGCACAAGAACATAATATGATCTATGAAAAAAAAATTTAAAACATACTATGCATAGGAAATATTAATATTAACATTTTGTGAAAATTTCWAATATCTACAAACATTTCGTTTTTTGAGTTACAAAGTATATAAAAATCGGATTTGTCAAAAAATGGATTCACATAAAAATCTCTCTTTTCCCTATTATTTAAAAAAGTRCTCAGAATTTTTTCTTTTTACCGATCAAACTATCACAATTTGATTCACTTTTCTACCAGAGTTAAGCACAACAAGAAAAAACACACACATCATTGTAAAACCAATATATTCATTGCTCTGCTCACAATCTAGCAACATATGTGTTAAATTTAGCTTAAATTTATATGTGCCTCTTCTATTATAGACTATATTATATATTTTGATTTCATCAAAAATTTTCTTCAAAAAATGTAATAAATTACGAGTAATAATTTTGGATAATAATAAATTTAGTTTTATTAAGTGATTATCTTACAAGTAATTTTAGGAATACGATACAATTTTAATGTTAAAATTAATTATTTTTGGTGATATTTATGTTATTGTTTTAGGCATGGCAAGAGATTGGTTTAAATTATGTAGACGTAAATGCTGAAAATCAAATAGGTGTAACTCATTTACAATCGACAGCTAGGCATGGCGAACGAATGAGCACTAACAAAGCGTTCATAAGACCGATTAGAAAAAAACGAAAAAACTTAACTGTTCTAACAGATGCACACGTTGTTAGGATATTGATTGAAAAGAAACGAGCTATCGGGGTAGAGTTTTTGTACAAGAAAAAAATAAGAACGGTGTTCGCAAAAAAAGAGGTTATTCTGAGTGCTGGCAGTCTAAACTCACCTAAAATACTTATGCTTTCCGGTATTGGGCCAAAAAAACACTTGACGAATATGAAAATTAAAGTTGTGAAGAACTTAGCCGTTGGAAAGAACCTACAAGATCACGTAACGTCTGACGGTGTCGTTATACGTGTGAAGAAAACCGCTACCGACAAGTCACTCAAAGAGAAAAAGGAAGACGCTGTTTTGTACAAAAAAAAAAGAAAAGGTCCACTGGCGGCCACTGGCCCATTACAATGTGGCGTATTCCTTCAAACCAAGTACGTTGGTTACAGTTAATTATTAATGTTATACAAAAATACTGTTTTTCATTGTTAATATACGGCGCAAACGAACGCAACATATTCGTTCGTCTGGAGGGAAAAAATTTAACACTAAAATGTTATATTTGAATAATATTKCTTGTAGATATGAAGATACACTGGATCTACCGGACATTAATTATGCATTTGACAATTCTAACGAGAAAGATTGGATTATCGACCCTGCAAATGCCACAAAATTCGGTATGTCTCCAGTTTCTTATTACGAAGCAATTAACGTAAGACCAATTTTGTTGAAGCCAAAAAGTAGAGGATGGATATTACTCAACGAAACTCATCCAATTTGGGGTCAACCACTGATCTATCCACGTTTCTTTACTAAAGGAGATGATCTTAATATACTCGTTGAAGGTAGGTAATGTAAACATTATACATCTTTTGCCAATACGGCTATACGTAGGTATAATATAAATTAAAATCAAAAAACAACCATAGAGAATTTTCGAAAGTCATTTACAACTAATGTGTTCATTTATATATTAAACTAGGTATATTATTATAAATTATGCAAAAATACATTCTAACATTATTAAAGACCTTAGTTGTATAATGATATTTTATATTGTTAGCAGTATTTTGTTAAACATTAGTTTTTCTTTAAAACAATAATATTAAACAACTGACGTCAAATAAATAACTATTAAATTTTATAAAATAATAGTTAATGGGATTATACAAGTTATATAAAATTATTTTACAGCTAGATCCTTTCAAATAACCTAGTCTATTTTATAGTTATTTTTAACGACTTACGCCCTACAGTGTATAGAACTTGTTTTACATTCAGTCATAACACTATTCAATTATTGGTTGGTATAAATAGTTTCTTGACAATAATTTATTGACTATAATTTTTTTTCTTTACAGTACTTACTTGATAGTGTTTAAAAAATAACATTACTATAATCCRCATACAAGTACTTGCTATTATAATACAAATAATTGAATAAATAATACAATAATAGTTTTTTATTTAAATAACAATTAACAATACTTAGTTTATTGATATATTGATATATGATCTGCAAATCTGGGAAAATTGACCATTTTTTTTCAAGTAGTTCAAGTTAAGTTATCCCCAGAAAAAAGTTAATGAAGTGAAAGTTTTTTTGTACTTTAAATTAATTTGAATAACTATGCCAAGTAACATATTTATAAGAAAATAAGTTACTTATTTTTGTTTAATTACCATCCCTCTTATGAGATTTTATACTCGTATTTACTGAAAACAGTTGAGTTTCAGTGTATCTGTATAAGCAGCCTAAAAGAACAATTGTTATTGTATTGTATTAAGTGTTTAAGAAAATCTAAAATMAAATCAATATATAATTAATAAATTTAAAAAAATATTTATTACATTTTATAAAAACATTTTTTCAAAGTTGTGGTCAGATATAGATATTATCCTAATAGTTGTTCAAGAGTTAACCTGCGCCTGCACTCAATAATTGMTCCACGTGAGCATTTTAATACAGTGTAAAATTATTTAATTAATTAATTTAATAGATAGGAACATAAATATATTTAACGGAAATTATAGTTTATTAGAATTTATCATAAAAAAAGTAATCTGCAACTTAATTTTTACGTAGCTATTTCCCAGGTCTCAGCTTTAATTTAATGTTAGTGTAATGAATAATTAGACATAAGTTAAGGTATAACAGTTGAGTTTTTTTTAAATAAGTATCAATGTATCATTATTCATTATGTCTAAACCTAACCTATTATCTTTTAATTTAAATTTACATATTATTTTGTTAGATTTTATTATAGTATAAACAATTATACCTAATTCTATTTTGATTCATTAAAATTAAATTAATCTTTTCACAAATTACTTAAACACTAAATAAAAACAATAGTACTAGTAAACTAGTAATTGTTRCCATAATGTATTTTACACATTTATATAGGTAGATTAAAACGAAAAATGTGTCAACCACGGTTTAAACAAAATTTATTTCATGTAAGGTTAGGATTGATTCTCTTTCGTCATGACCTAGTTTTCAAAAATTATATTCCTTTTTTAACCACTTAATTATACTAATATACGTAAATTTGAATTTTTAAATAATTCACTGTTACTTATTTATTTATGTAGCATAATATTATCATCATAGTGGTGTTTAATCGAAAGATTTGTGAAACTGAACATTCGCTGATGAGATAATTACTTATTATTAGTGATTACTGATTACGTAACGTTTTAGGCAACTGCCATAATGCTTTCATCCAATGCAATTGCAACAATTTTGGCAAGTTATGGTCATCCTCTTAAACGGTGATTTGTGCAAGTTTAATGACTTGTTTCTAGTGCTAAAATTAGGTTAATAGTATCCAAATGACTAGTGTATAGTGTATAGTGTATTAGTGTACATATTCATATAAGTGTGTGTGTAATATTAAAATAAAATTGTTGAATTTCGAGAAGTCATTGTCATATTTTATCRAAACATTATGCTTTATACAAAATTATCACACTCCACAATATTGTGTGTTAACAAATAATTTCTCGTTACACAATGCATTTCAGGAAGCAGAAAGATAATAAGAACAAGTTTAGAATAAATTTATTAAGAAAATAAATTTTTTTTWAATTATTAATAATAACAGCTTAAAATAAATAAACAATTTTAATAAGCATTAATAGCTATTATAGTTTTTGAAAATTATTGGACTCGACAAATGATAACATCTACTACCACTTATATAAAAATACCATAACCTACGAAGATAAATATATGTATACTTTTAGGAATACAGACAATTAAACAATTAATTATTTCTAAATAAGAAAAATTAGTACTATATGTGGACATTTTGTGATTTTAAAATGTTGTCTCTGTTATAATTAAATTATATGATACTATATAAGTTATAATATAATAGATAGAAATTATTGAAGTTGCTATTATTATCATTTTATCATAAGTGCAGTCTTGTAAAATATGCTTTTCAAAG